CATCAGAGTTAATTCTCCTACAGAGAGATTATCAAATTTCCTCAAACCTGTTTACCTCAGATTGAATCGGGAATATTTTCCTCGTTTCTTCCTACGGTGCCTCTTCTCAGTTTCGTTTTAAACAGTTATTGTGGAACGACTTTCACTAGCAGATAGATAGCTTATTTCTGGAAAAAAATATTTGATTCTGACGTGGAAGAACAATAGCTAGAAAACAATTTGTTGGGTAAAAGTTAAAAATCATCTAATTTTTATATCATTTGAATTGATATAATATTAGAAAATATAATTGCCCAAGAGAACGTCCCGAGGGGACGTTCCGAAGACAATTAAAATTAAAGTGATATATTATTAAAAATGAACAATATATTATTATGTCCAACCCTTTATTAGAAAATTTCTCTTTTCTTATTCTATCCAAATTTTGCAAAAGAAAAAAATTGTAAAGTCGTCAAAATGTCATTGTTCGTTGGTATCTAGATAAAATTATTTAAATAATCTAGACGAAACGACATAATCTTATCTTTACTAATATCTTCATCTGTATCTTACTTAGATAAAAAATTAACGCTTTTTTATCTAAGATATACAAATGAAGATAGTATATATTCCAGTAAAGATAAGATGAAGCCTTTCGTCTAGATTATCTAGATAATTTCATATAGATATCAGTAAACACTGGCTGATTACCATTACTAACGGTAATCAATATCACATAGTTGCTAATAATCATAGTGTTCCAAAATTTACTGAAAATCTATATACATATATAGTTTACGTAACGTGCATTATAATTGTTCAGTACTAACAGTAAATTTTGGAACTCAGCCTTCTTATACAAGAGAAAATTCCTAGAAAGTCATATATTGGAAAATCAGCCGGCACATCGTGAAATTAGCTAATTATCCTTTGTAAAAGAACATATGCATTTATTCACGCGCATACGTACGGTTATCGAACGAAATTTATAGTGAACGCACTGATGCGCACTTATAGTGCATATTAAAGCCGCTGTATGTATACATACACTAATTTAATCTGTGTAAAAGTAAAATGTAAATATTTTGAATTATAAAATCAAATTTTACTTAACAGCACAACAAAATGTATTAAGGATTTCATCCGTTTTTATATTTACATTAAATACGTATTTTTACATCAATTTGTGTATGACGGCTCTAAAGTGCATTAGTGGGCACTGAGTGCATCCAATCGAATTTACTATTAGATTTCGCTTATGCATAATATACGAGTATATGTAAGTTTGGGCACAGTCCAGATTCTCTCACCTGCACGCGTCTTTAAAAGTCTTTCTAGCTTGATCGAGCATTCGCTTGTACATGATGAGATCCGATGCTTTATCCTGTTGCACGGTATCTAATCTGGCCTTCAGGCCGAGGCACTCCTCTTCTAGTAATTCGATTCGATACATCAAACGTAAAAATATCGAATGGATTATAGAAATAATCGGTGAAAAAACCAACGGCTCGACCTTAATTAATATCAATGGCGTATCACTAGCGTCAAGGAAAGAAAAAGCAGATTTTACAACAGTTACAACAATGTATGTATATATAATTTACTTATAACAAAACTTCTTCAGAGGATTGGTGGTTTCTTCCTCCATTCGTAAACTCGACATCGATTTCATGCACAACTTTGCTCTGTATCCCATTATCCACTTTAGCAAATCCCATTCTTTCTTTCTCCCGCGAATCTCGCAATTTCGACTCTAACTTCGCACACTTTTCTTTTCCTTACGCAGCAATTCCTTTTAAATTAAATGTACAATTGCAGGTTGTGATATAAATTCTCGTGGACTTATTAAATGTTTTAAGATCTATATATAGAACAGCCTTTAATTTTTAGTCCAATCTTATTGTATATTCTCCTCTTCATTACTTTTTTATTCATCACACACATATTGCGAATTGCGATCACGCGCGCCCCAGTGAGAAATGGCAATGGAATCGCCGACATCGATTCCATTGTCATTTCTCACTAGGGCTCTGTCTAACAGTCGGATCATTTATATTAGCCGTAATTTGTAAGAATTGACTAATTACAATCGAGTATTCCCCTCTCATTTAATTGTAAAAGAGGAATGCTTGACTGCGATTAGTCAATTCTTATAGATTATACGGCATACGGCACACGATTACAGCCAGTATAAATGATCCTTGAGTTAAGTCTCGAATTTGCTTATGTGCACGCAATTGTACTGTTATTACGAATATCGGTCGACATCCGCGTACATTTTAAAAATTAATTTTTAATCCAATTCTTAGATTCCTTGAATTTGGATTTCCACACTAAGCTAAATTTTGGGTGTGGAACGCTCCACACCATAGTTACCATCCATGCGTACTATATATATAATAAGCCTATAAAAAGTCCATTCTACATTAGACGCAATGCTTGCGTCTAATGTAGAATGGGCTTTATAAGCAGATAACTTATATCGAGTATGAAATAATGAGCTAATATAAAACAATTTACGATAAAGATAATTCTGATTGCGGAGTCTCAATGAAAAATAGAAATATAAACATAATTATTTTTTTCTCGTACCAGAGAGAGATAATTCTTTTTGGGATCTTTCGTTTCCGGACAATTTTGTTTGCAGTTCTACCAATTTCTGCTGCAGACTCCGGATTTGCTCAACTCGTCCACGCCAACCACCTGGGGTACTCGAAATAAGCGTACTAATGCTAATATTTTCACCTACCTCACTGCTACCTCACAATAACTGCAGATATCTGTATCCTTGGTGATAATTCCATAAACATGGAGAAATTTAAGCCTAATCTATAATACAATGTGCTCTTCCTATTAAGCGAGAATGGATTAAAATGCAGGATTGAATTTTATCTATCCGAATATGTACTTCAAATAAGAAAAAAAATTTTTTTTTTAGATTTTATTGAATCCAATTGGATTCAATTAGATTTAACTGGATTCAAATGGATTGAAAAACTGCATTTTCTATTCAAGATTTGGAATTGAAAAATATTCACGAGGCATATAGAAAAAAGCTGATATTATATTTTTGAAAGACATAGAAATATGCTTCATGCATGCAATTCCTATAGATAAAAATGCATTCGGATTGAAAAAAAATCATTTTAACGTTCTCGAATGCGTATTTCTGAAAATCTGAATCTATTTCAATTCATTTCAACCTATTTCTCTTTTACTAGAAAGAAATAGGTACGTGAAAAGAAACGCAACGATCGCAAAGAAGGAAAAAGGTACGAGATAAAAAGCAATAGGAAGCAAAGAGCACATTGTAGATTAGGCTTTAAAGAATCTTCCGCCAAGTATAGTGATAATATTATGAACACGTACATTATGAGGATTCTCTTTTTATTCATATCTCTTTATCTCTTAAAAGCAATTAAAACCGGTTTGGTTTCTTCTATAAAAAAAACCAATCATTTTTTTAACATTAAATTAAATTAAACTTAATTATTAAATTTATAAAGCAACAAAAACAATACCTTGCGTGCTTTATTAATTTCTTGCTTTAGGACAGCGCACGAGTTTCTGGATTCACAAAGCTTAATTCGCTTGAACCCGTTACAATTTATTATTTAAACATTCAATTCGCTCCTTGTCCTTTGTCTAACAAATTGTATCTTAAATCTTCCTCCCTTTTATGTCTCGGTAAACGAAAATGGATTAAAATAGATTATAATTTTTAATCCATGCGAATGTGTATAAATGAAAAAACCTTTTCTGGATTCAATTGAATTGAAAAAAACTGCATTTTTTTCTATCCAAAACGTTGAATTAAGCAAAATTCACGACCTATTTCTAAAACTAAATTTATATATTTTTGGATTGAAAAACACAGAAAATGTATTTCATACAATTTCTTATAAATGAATATGCATTGGACATTGAAATTGATTTAGATTTTCAAAAGTACGCATTTGCGAATGTTAAAATAAATCTTTTTCAATCCATTTTAATCGATTTTCGTTTACTACCGGGATTATATTTTTTGTTATTTTTATATAATGGAGTTATAATTTTTATTATTTTCGGCGTTACAAGTATAAGAAAAATATTTTATTTTAAAAAATTACTTTAAATGATCGAATAATGTAAATTATTAATTTAAAAATCATTAATATATACAAAACCACTAATGAATAAAAAATGAAGCTATTAATGAAACAAAAAGAAACAAGCAGTTAATCTAGATTTTCTCGAAAACTTCAATCATAACTCAAACTTTTCAATTTCTTCAAGAATGTTTTCTAAACAACGAAGCTAATGTAAGTTAATAACGAGATAAAATATATAATTGCATGTAAAATAGGAAAAAAAGGGGGTGATCCCGATTGATCACGGCTCGATTGGACACCACCAATCACAGCGACCGGTGCTTAGGAGCTTTGTAGTCTCAAGCGCTGTGAGTGGCTCGTGTCCAATTGAGCCGTGTCCAACTGGGTGCCACCCGAAAAAAAGGCCAACTATCGCCAGAATTCTTTCTTCTAATTGGTCCATTAAATGCTTCAAAGCGTTTGTAGCGAGACTTTAAGCACAGCCAATGTCAGGCGATTGCCTGGGTCGCCCATTCCACAGATCGCCCTCTGTGCAATAAAACCACCTTAAAGCAGAGCATAAGAATATTTTACGCATGAAAATGCAGAGAATAAGAATTATCATTTTCTAACTTATCGACATTAAAAAGTGAAATTAAAAAACAGGACTTCAGCGAGACAATCACCACGTTTACACGAAACCCTTAATCGGGTTTAATAACATTTGTAGTTATAATTGATTAATCACATAGCTATTCCTCTGTAGAATGGAATGACTGTGATTGGTTAGTTTCTAACTAAGGATGTTATTAAACCCGATTAAGGGTGACCATGTAAGCGTAGTCAATTTTCCTTCTCGGAGAATATGTTCTACACAAAATACATAAGTTTACAAAATTATGGGAAAATAGGAGGGAAGGTATATACTAAACGTGTAAATCAAGAAAATTTTTTTCTTCTTAAATTTACTCTTTCATTCAAAATGCTAATTACTGCGAAAACAGACATTTTGCAAATAGTCCTTTTCACTTCATTATATTTCGGTCAGTGTCCTATTTCTCTTTTTTAAATAGCTTCTTCTTTTTTTCATTCCCGTCAGCTAATTTTCCAGCCTTCTGAAGTGCTTGTAGCTTCATATTTTTGGCAACTACAAGCTTTTTAGTAGTATCTGTTTTTTTGCTGTTCATGGGCATCGAATATTGGACATTGATCCTCTTTTTCTTTAAAAATGTATGATTTAACGAGAGACCTTTCTGTTAAAAACAAAAAAAAGTCGTATTGCAATAAAATTATTTAATAAAAATATAGCAAAGGCAGCATAAAATGCTTTTACCTCAAAATCTATATGATTTGTCATCTCCACATATGCAAAGCCACGTGGTGTTTTATCTGGTTTAGTTGGAATTCTAATGCTAGTTATTGTACCAACTTTAGTCAAAAAGTGTCGTTTGATCTCATCCTCAGTTATACTGTAAATTAGATATTAACATTATTTTGCATGGGTGCACACGCGTGTGTGCATCACATACACATACACACATACAAAATTGTATAGAAATATTAAAGCTAAAAAGTCACTTACTTTAGTGGTAAATTACCCACAAATAGGACATATCGCTTCTTATTCACTTCTCCTTTTTTCTGATTATCCCAAGATTGAGGAATTTGTTTATTCTTATTTTGTACATCTTTTTGTCTTACTTCTGAAATTCTTGTTTTTTTTATTATATTTTCTTCAGCCTTGTCAGCCTCGTCCTCCTCGTCTTCCTCATCCTCCTCGTCCTCCTCGTCCTCCTCGTCCTCCTCGTCCTCCTCATCCTCCTCCTCGTCCTCATTGTCCTCTTCATCTTTTACATTTTCTTCATCTTCTACATCCTCTTCATCTTCTACATCCTCTTCATCTTCTATATCCCCTTCATCTTCTTCCTCTACTTCCTCTTCTTCATCTTCTTCATCAGTTTCGTCTTTATCACTTTCATTATCAATCTCTAATTTTTTATTATCAACAAATTCATTTTCTGCCTCGCTTTCGTCACTTTCATCCTCGTCACTTTCTTCCTCAATGTCACTGTCTATGTCTTCATCTTCCTCAATGTTACTATCGTTTTCATCTTCCTCTTGTGGTTTACTTTTACTTTGTACATGTTGCTTTTCTACTTTCACTTTATTTTCATCATTAACTTTCTGTTTATTCTTCATCAATGCATTTGCACACTGTTCAATTTTTTTATTTTTCTTCCCTACTGTATCCAATTTCTCTGACTCATTCACAATTTCCCTCAATTTTCTGTTAAGTTTACCTAATACTCTGTGTGCTCTCTTCGACAGCACTTCTCTGCTCTTGATTTCTGTTATCTTTTTTGTTATCTGTTCTGCAGTAAGAGTAATAGTTCTATAAGGATGTCTCTTCCTTGGCCGACTGCTGCTTTTACCAATAGCTTCATTCTTAGGTTTAACGATCATTAATTTTGCAATTTCTTTTGTATCTTTCTTGGTTTCCGATTTCATTATGTTACTTTGTTGTTCAATTATCTTATTCTGTTCTTTTTTCTGCTTGTCTACTACTTTTGAGATTTGGGCTCTTCCCGTCAATGCGGGATTTCCATTTTGCTTAGAACCAGTAATTTTGGCTCTTTTGGGACTCTTATTAAATTGATTAACATTTTCTTGTTTTTTATTCAATTTTACTTTGGAAACAGAAGTTTCACTAAGCGACCGTTTCTTTCCTTTCTTGTCCATTATCTTAGTCTTCATTTGGAAATAGGCTTCTGCAATGCCAAAAGAAAGATATGAGAAATAAGTGATAGATACAAATATATACCTACATATTCGAATTCTGAAAATGAATGAAAACATTTTATAAAATTTCACCCTGTCGCGTCACAGTGTGAGATATATCATTTCAATCATATACTGGGGGGTTATCCAGATCAAGATATTTAAATTATAATACATCTGTTTCGTGTATAAAACGTTTGCAAACACCTCGTACGCATAACTTACCTTTCCAGGAGTGATTCAAAATGCTTTTCAATTGAAATTATGAAACAACAGCCAATAAAATTGTTGCAAAATTACATTCCAGACAGAACAACGTGCAGCGAGACGCAGCGAAGCGTGTTACAGCATGGTACATGATGCTACTTCCGTTTTGAAAACTGATGGCAGCGATACTATGGTTCCCACCGCTGACGCTCCCACGCAGGGCTGCGTTCCAAAATATAACTACAGTAACCAAAGCTCTATAGTTTACGTAACGTTGACTATAGAATTTTGATTACTGTAGTTAAGTTTTGGAACGCGGCTATTACTGCATGGCGGAAGTTGGCACAGTAGCCAATCATTGGGTGCATTCAATTTCAAGCTCAACAAAGCGGCTAGCCTGCTCGCCGAGCAAATAAACATAATTAGTTGTTACTTATAAATCCAATCAATTATATACAATGATCGCATTCAGCGGACTCAATAGTTGAGTGAGTGCTCGCTGTTATTGATGTATTCTTTTAACTCGTCCAATCAGAATTTTAGATTTAGAAGAATACACCAATAACAGTGAGCGCTCACTCAACTGTTGAGTCCGCTGAATGCGCCCAATGGCTGCGTTTAGCAGAGAAAGCAGCTTTGCAACTGTTGTAAAATTCTTAAATATGATTGGTTTTTTACATTTCCAGATCCAATGAGAAACTAGGGACAAGACCAATCATATTCAAAAATTTGACAACTGTTGCAACTTCCAAAATTGGGTATCAATCATGAAACTTTATCCCTAAGATGAAAGGTGAAAAGTGCAAATTTTAACCGTTGAAGTTAATGGAGAAATTTTTCACTTTTCACTTTTCATCCTAGGAAAAAAGTTTCATGGAGGTCGATTCTGTATCTTCATTCAAGGTGAAAATTACAAAAGTGTGCAAATTTACTAGGTGTTGACCAATGAAATTATCAGTATTCTAGTAAATTCACTCACTTTTGTAATTTTCACCTCGTTTCAAGATACAGAATTGATCCCATGATTGATTTTTCTGCTTTTTCTGCCGAACGCAACCAATTTTTCTACCCAACGCTCGGTAAGCATACCTAGCCGCTTTGCGTACAAACGCAGCCAATAAGGCCCGATTGCACCAACGACTGCATTCAGCAGACTCACAGTAGAGTCCTAGATTTATCAGAGAGGAGCAACAGGTGTTATGCATTCTGTTGCAATCTAACCAATTGCGTGACTTGGCAGCCATTTATAGTACTAGTGACATATTTCTATTTCATTTTATATCCTATACATTCTATCTCACGTTATCCTACACGTCTTATCTTGTTTGACACAGTTTAAAGGCAGTTTCATAGCATGTCGGCCATGT